ACATCAAAAACAGGGACATTTCTGAAGGAAACAAAACCCACGATCATACATACAGGAATACAGCTTGTACGCTAATGTTGTGTCTTCTAATCACTACTAATCTAAATTAATAAAAATGTTAATTTTCCGAGTCTGTTAACTATAGACTCGGAAACTACTGAACCGATTGCTTTCATATTTTGACACAACGTTGCCTTTGACTCAAAGCATGTTTTTGTGTCATAAAATCGCACAAACCGTGAACGGCGAAGCTCCAGCAACAGTCAAATCATTATTTGTTTCGTTGCCGGCCCAGATTTGTTTTTAGTTGATTGGCCATTTTTGACTGCTGAGCAGGGCTGCCAATAAATAACTGAACTTTGCGTTATTGTAATAATTTCATTTCCACCAACTGCATGAGTCTTTGATAGTGTAGTTGTAAATATTTTGCCTATAATGCGGGTGACCCGCGTTCGATTCCCCGCTGGGTAATATAATTTTTTTGGCCCTTAACTGGGCTACTGGCACGTTGCGTTGTGGTTTATGGCTAGGTTGCGATATCTACGCCTTTTTCGGTTTTGGGGTTTACTGCTAGCCTGCGATAGCGGCGACGTGATGCTCAATGATCATGATATAACAGACACTGTTAGCTGAGAGCTATTTTCTTTCTTTTTCATTTCACCATTCTGGGCCACAGCAACGCGTGGCCGGGTACAGCTAGTTATACATAATCAAAATGGAATTCTAGTATTGTTTACTGTTAGTGGGATGCAAAAGTATCAACAACAACAAAAGTTAATTTTTCGCCAGTGCTACTGAGTTTCGTGCATCTGAGCTGAAACCATCTTGGAAATTTGTTCAACGGCGTGTGGCGAATGTGACGTAGATGCTTTCATCATGGGCGAAACACTGTTGGCAAACATGAACGCTGTACCGGTAATTAGAGAAGCATAGTAACTCAACACTGGCCTGGGGTTATCAGTCGCCACATGCTGAGGGATAAACTGAAGATGGGATCCGAGCGCTTAGGACGTGTTTGATGTGCAGTGAGGATAATCTGTCGATTAACAACTAACTAACTAACTAACTAACTAACTAACTAACTAGCGAACTAACTAGCTAACTAACTAGCTAACTAACTAGCTAACTAACTAGCTAACTAACTAGCTAACTAACTAGCTAACTAACTAGCTAGCGAACGAACGAACGAACGAATGAACCTAACCTAACCTAACCTAACCTAAACTAAACTAAACTAAACTAAACTAAACTAAACTAAACTAAACTTAACCAAACCAAACCAAACCAAACTACTTAACTTAACTTAAGTTAAGTAACTTAACTTAACTTAACTTAAGTTAACTTACTTAACTAACTAACTAACTAACTAACTAACTAACTAACTAACTAACTAACTAACTAACTAACTAACTAACTAACTAACTAACTAACTAACTAACTAACTAACTAACTAACTAACTAACTAACTAACTAACTAACTAACTAACTAACTAACTAACTAACTAACTAACTAACTAACTAGCTAACGAACTAAATAAATAACTAACTGCCTAACTACTAATACCCTACTATAGTGATGGCCAAAAATGTATTGCTTCATCATTACGTTACACACTGTGAAAACATACTGTTGCTGTTTTCAACTGCCGTTTTAACATTATTTATCTATTGATTTCATGTCTGTCTAAAAAGTGAACAAAAACCAACACTTTATGGCTTTCAAAAACTGAAATACTATCACTACGCGGACAAAGATATACAGCACACAGATATTTCTCTTCATACTGTCTATAGTGTCGGCTTTGTGGCTAAGTCGATGCGAACGCTTCGTAATGCCAGGGTACCGGGTTCGATCCCAGCTGCGGGCCATACGCCTTGCGTTGGTTTCGACAGTGGTATCAGGAAGCCGACCGTCCAGTAAGCAATGGCAAACTACTGGATGTAAATTTGCCTAGTGAAACCACACAACAGCCAGGGGCTGATGGGGTTGGTTCTGCAACGTCCTGTAAAGGATACGCAACTAGTTTTTTTACTGTCTATAGTAAGACGGAAGTGTTCGTGATATCAAGTACCATTTGGACAGTAGCTTGTTTTTCAGATCGAATGATATTTGTATATATATATTTAATACTCTTTAATAGTACGGACACATCAATTATTTATTAAATAGTCTTAAACTTTTGGTCACAACTATTCTCCCTCATACTGAGTTCATTTAGGTAAATAAATGTTCGATATTACAGAATTCAGGACAAGCTAAACTTAGCTCCTTCTCCCCTTTCAACAGTCAGCAAACAAATCTCTAGACGGACGGTACCACTTGTCATCTGGTTAGCTACTCGTCTTGCCTTTCTCCCCATACCCCTGCCCCCCCCCCCCTCCCTTCTTCCCGAGTCTCAGATACACTCCCCGTTGTATCATTCTCTCCGGTACGGAGTTTTAGTATCATCCATTTTACTTCTCACCTTTGCCCACAGGCAGGGCATCACCTCCGCCTTGTACAGTGGAAGTCGACACTCAAGTGGAGCCATTCCAGCCAATCTGTCGGCCTGCTCACTCCTACACGCATCTATATATTCGGGTAAAATATTCTCCGGATTAATGCGATCCATTCTAAACAACGAAAACTGACCCCATCCTGCTGAGCAAGCTTTGCGAATCTGAAACTTTATATAACATGTGTCACTGAGACCCCCCCCCCCCTTCCCCACCCAGCCATCCGACCGCCGCAGTTACCGCCTCAACCTCTATTCTCATGGTGGATGTCGTAAAATCGTATACCAAGCTAATCTCATTCTTCTTCTTTCCCATGCTTTTGCAGCCAAGCCCTATCTACCTTTTCTGCCCCTGGCCACTATCCTATCAATGCATATATTCACCTCTTCTTACCCTCTACGAGACGTTGAACCTACACATCTGCACGTCCGACCGTCCATTCTCAGCATTCCTGTGCTAAAGTCATTACTACATTGTGCAGCTCTTCTATACCATCCAGCGTCTTTATCCATTCTTCTCCTCGGTTAAACTATTTAACGCTGTAGACATTGTTGATTGTCTTTTCAGCCCGCGCCATCCTGAGTCTGTCTGTCTTTAGTATTTCACATGTAGCAGTGTTCAATTCTCTTTGAGAGATATGTTCTGGTTTACCTGCAGCTCAAAAATTGGTTCTCAGCTTGTAGTCTGACATATCATACTTCAACAGCTGCCACATTATGGTATGAATGTCTTTAGCTTATTATACTAAATGTTAACCGTAGCGAAGTATGCGCTTTGAAGTTGTATGTCTTTTTTCTTTTCTTGGAGGCTTAGTGCTCCGCAACAGGCATAACGTAAAGGGAGACTAAAATCAGAATTGCATTGAAGAAGTGACATGGTAACTCCAATGTTATTTAGTCGCTAGAACACACCAACGAATAACAACAACACTCCCACCACAGTATCTGCAATAATTCTAATTAAAAATCTTGTGCACACCTGGTGATAAAAATAATTGTAAAGGTGTAACTTAACGTCTAGGTGAGACGACTGTGGAGAGCTGACATGAGCACTTGACACCTCAACAGCTCAGAAAAAATCTTGTTCCGTTTGGGATTTAAAGGCAGCAGAAGGAGGAGAAGTAGAGAAGGAGACGGAGAACTGGGATGAGGAAGAGGAAGACGAGAACCAGATGAATATGAAGAAGAAGAAGAAGAAGAAGAAGAAGAAGAAGAAGAAGAAGAAGAAGAAGAAGAAGAAGAAGAAGAAGAAGAAGAAGAAGCAGCAGCAAAAGAAGAAGAAGAAGAAGAAGAAGAAGAAGAGGAAGAAGAAGAAGAAGAAGAAGAAGAAGTAAAAAAAGAAGGAGAAGAAGAAGAAGAAGACATACAAAATTGAAGGTAGCTCAGAACACGATTGTTCATCCCAGATTGTCGCCTCTTACGACATGTTTGTGGTAGGCCAGTCGGTATACTCTGTTTTCCCCGAGCTAGTATGCTCTAGTACCCACACAAGGAATTTGAGTTTGTGTCGACTGATCTTTTCCCTTTTTGCTGTTAATATCCATGTTAAGTATTGCTAACACAACGTTTGTGCAAATACTGTATTCAAACAGTGCTCTTTTCGAGTCACTATGACAATAATATACATTTAGAACGAACACAGGACTTTTGTTTTCGAAATTTTCAACATAAAGACATACTGTATAGTTTTAATATTGTAAACACGCTGTTCATCATCGTAATCACCATCATAATCAACATCATCATCATAATTATCATCATCATCATCTGTGTTAACTGTATTTCTTCATGAAGGCTCTCTGTGTCAGTTGGTACCAAGACATTCTGGTACCCAAACATCTCACATTTTGCTCTCTAATGAACTGTCTTCAAAATTCTTGTTTGACAGTTTTATCTTCAAGCGGTTTGCCAGACTTGTCAAAGATTAATTTCTAACGTCAAACTTCTCCTCACAATTACTTATCTCACATTTATCTACACATTAGAAGACTTTAAACCTCATAATTATCATGTATCCACGAAAATAAACACATGACTTGTGGCCCAGTGATGATTGCTTTGCCATCTTCACCGGAAATCCCTACGTACTAAAATACCAGTGGTTATCATTTCACACTACACACAAAAATACTTGGGCAGAAAACAACATCGGTTAGCCTTGGAGCAGCTACACCACCGCAAATAAAAGCATTAGTTGCATTTCATTTTCAAGAATTAAAAACGCACAGTAAAATGTACCCGACGATTTTTTTAAACTAGGCAATTTTACACTCAGTTGATCGCTAAACATCATCTCCCTCTGCCTCCATCTCATCAGGTTGTACTTTCCCGACTCCAGTGTGTAATTATGCATCTCCAAATATTGCGACGTCTCCAATGTGTATTTCTTTCACGCCAAGATCACCGTTGTCAATAACCTCCTTTCGCTGGACATATCCAAGTATAAATCCTCCTGAAAATGCGTTAAGGAGATGTCTAGCAATTAGTACAAATATTATCTCAGGATTATATTGTCTCTTGGAGTTCTAAAGTCCGGAGTAGCGTAAAGGCAGCGGGGTTAGGCAGATTATTAATACCTCCATTTGTGGAATTGCTGACTCCACTACTGCCGCGTTGGTACTGTGTCAGATAGTCGGCCGGGAATATTTTCGGACTTTCCATGTGTGACCCCAAATCAGAGTGAGATAGTGTGTGTCCGACGTGATGAGGACTTACAGGCGACGTCTCTAGCACAGCCGAATCTAGCCTCTGTTGCGACGATGAAGATGGTAATTGTAGACCGTCGGCGCCTGTCACTACTTCGTCTGCTTTGATATACCCAATTGTATTTGCGTTTGTGGGTAAAAGAAGTGCGGGGTTGATGGCTTCTAAATGCCCAGCAGCGGTGAGGTAAGGAGAACAGAACAGCGTAGGGTCTTTATATACCATCATTGCCATAGAGTAGTAGGGGTGCTGAATAGCCACAGGAGGCCACATGTAATCCCCACTGCCAATGTTGTCTCCGCAGGTTGAATGAATACTGTTAGGGTCGTTGTAGACTCCAGTTATAAACGGTTGTTTCTCGCTTTTGTCATCAGTACTCACACAAGTCTCTCCTGGGATATCCGTTCCATTTCTGTGGAAAACAAAGTCATCATACAACGTAAGATTTCACTGGCGCTAAATGCTGTAGCAAAATTATCATTTATGTCAACAGTTGTGCCTTTTTCGTTCACAAAGAACTAATTGTGAATATCTTTGGCCGTGAATGCCGGCATCTTCGTAGTAGATGACAAGGATAACATCAGAAGTCCTGAAAAAACTGACGCCAAAAAAGAAAAAAAAAAAAAGAACAGGGTCTAGAGAAAGTAACAAAGAAAGAAAAATAACAGACTAATAATTAACCTTTTCGATGCATTCTCTGAACTCTAACCCGGGTACAAATACAGCGTTCTGGGCGTTCACCTAAAGAAAAGAATGATAGTTTCCCTGTAACCGCTGGTTGGCGAAACAAGTAAAGAGCTCTTTTATCGCCACTAGCATGTAGGACAAATCTTCTTCTTCTTTGTTTACCGGCAGTAAACTCCGGCAGAAAGTCCCAATTGTTCGTTTATTTGGACTTTGGCTTTGTGCCAGGGCCAGATGTTTGCGTGTATATCCGTTTTACTGACATATTTGTGTGCAGTGGTTGTTCATTGCCGTTTGGGCAGATGCACTCCCTTCCAAGGAGGCTGCTAATTAGTCGACTTCTACGACATGCTTGTTGTGGAGGTAGTGGGTCTATTCTTGTTTTCTCCACAATGGGGTCCCAAAACACACATGGGGAATATAGAACATTTAAGGTCTTGAAAAAAATAGTTTTCTATCATTGTAAAGAACATATGATGACAGACAATTATTTTTCAAGATCTTAAGTATACTATGGATGATGTGGTTGATATTATTCTAGTCGCCTTTACTTCCCATTATATTTACTTGTAACTATTCTAGGTTAGTACGACTTTGAAGCTAGTGTTAGTTTTTAAAAAAATCTGCTTGAGTGCCGATCCGAATTCAGATCGATAGGCAAGAGTCTAAATAGTTCTCTACCGCAGCTCTCCTGGTGATAGTGTATTTAATACATAGTGATACTATTGATTTAAGGATAATGCGACTGCTTTGTAAGATATTGGCCAATAATGTGATCTAAAGAAATGGTAAAATTACATCTCCTAACCATCATGGCGCCCATATTGTAAATGTTTTTTTTTTTAAATGTATATCCTCTTTTTAGCGTCCACCGGTTGTACATTCCGAGGGAACGTTTTTGTTCCAGAACTTGAGTTTTTGCTTGCACATCCGTTTTACAGATCTGGCTCATCTGTATATAGACTGTTAGTTCCTTGGCTCACAGACAGATGCACTCCGACGTCGAATGAAATGCCCCTAATTGTCAGCTTTTACGACATGCTTGTTACTGTGTGTGTGTTTGTGGGGCGGTGGGCAGGGGGTCAGTTCTTCTACCTCCCCCCCCCCCCCTAACCCCCACGGGGTAATATGTAACTTTCACAGTTTTCTAGGAAACGTCTAGGACAGAAAGGCTGTAAAAATGGACATATGGTTCTCATGTCAGCAACAGACTGTCTGAGATCTTCTCTCTTGGTCTCCGTCTGCCTCTCTTCTCCTTTCATTCTCCCCAAGATGTACCGTCCTCTTCCTTATCATTGCGCTGGAATTGAGTTGTTAACTTTCGATTTGTTTTCTTCGTAAGTCACTTTCTTTCAAGACCAATTTAGTAGACTTTTTACATCTCCACAGTGTCTGTCTATCTGCTAGACTGCACGTCTGCTTGTTTTTCTGCCTGTCTGTGCATTTGTTTTTCTGTCTGTGAATCTTTCTCTGTTTTTCTAGCTTTATCTCTTTCGATATTTTTTCTTGCTCTGTATTTTTATATTTCCCCTCTTGGGTCTCTGTTATTCTCCTCCGTGTGTGTGTGCGTGCGTGCGTGCGAGTGTGTGTGTGCGCGCGCACACACACAGCCCAAAATATCATAGACAATTTACGAGTTGTCAAAGACCTGTATTGTGTAAGTCCCAAAAAACGTAAGTGCCATGGATAGTCAGCCTATTAATGACAAATCATGGTCATCACTTCTGCCATTAAGCGTTGTGGATAGGAACAGTTTACGATCCACTGCTTGATGAGCAGAAGCGGCTATTATCAATCCGTGTCGATGCAGAAACTCTTTAATGTCATCAATCTATATTCTCCTAGGGTGGCTTCTTGCTTTCACTTCGCATCTTTTCACGTGTAGCGCCTGTGCTGGTCGTTATTATGTCTGTATTCTTACTATATGAATAAATCATTTGATCTTCTTTTTCTCAATAAATGTGCTGCATGGTGTTGTTCCTACAGTCGGTCTGATAACAAAATTACTTTGTCCCGAATAGTTAAAACCTGGAAGCTGTTCTTGCTTGTCTCATTTCACAGGTGTTAATTTTACGTAGGTTAGCCTTTGATAATAGTATTGGGACAGCTAGCCCCCCTCTTACAGCATAAGACAATCCCAATCAGCACAAAGAGACATCTTATTCAAAGCATATTTATTCCAACTCTATGCTACCAGTGCCAGACATAAGCACTCACAACAAACCATAAAAGAAAATTAGTAACCATGGAGATGAGATGTCTGAGAAGGGCTGTAGGAGTGACCATAAGAGAAAAGATCAGGAATGAGATCATAAGAGAAAAAGTCGGCACAGAACCAATTCTAAATTACATACGAAGACAACAGATGAAATGGTTTGCCCACTTAGAGAGAATGCCTTGTGACACCACACCATAAAAAGCATACATGGAAAGAGAAAAAGGACGTAGAGCACGAGGTAGACCAAGAACAAGATGGAAGGATAACATCAGAGAAACTCTACAACAGCACGATGTGCCTATGGTCGGGGCAGCCAGAAGAGCTAGAAAAAGAACCTTATATCTCCCTCGACACCCACAGCGGTAAAAGAGGAAGTGAAGAAGAAGAGGAAGAAGAAGCCTTTGATAATGTCAAAGAATAGCACTGGTAGCACAGTGTTGGTATGACGGTGTCAGTTGGTATGTAGGCACATGGGCTCACTGGCGTCTTGTTTCTATTTCCCGATCTATTCTCCCGTACTCCGAGAATATACTTCCTAGATAAATTCTTTAACTTGCTCCAGACAAGCACCATTCAACCCTGTGTGTAGCGAATTAGGAATTCTGATGACCTGCATTGCTTCTGTTTTAGTAGTTTTTTTCTTTTTCTTTTCATGTTATATCATCTACAGTTTAAATTTAACGTTTCAAATGTTCTTGCGGTCTACTCCACATTCTGTTTTTCTACAAAATCTCCGCAGCTCCAACATAACTTTTTATGAATAGGCTGACTTTCCATGGCACTTCTGTTTATCAGGACTGACACTATACAGCTCATTAGGTCTCGTAAATTTGTTATGGTTTAATAGGATTATTAGTAGCGTGCCCAGGTCCCTTCCCCTACAAACACACATCATTATGCATAGACAAACAAAGACACATCATTATGCATAGACAAACAAAGACACATCATTATGCATAGACAAACAAACACACATCATTATTCATAGACAAACAAACACACATCATTATTCATAGACAAACAAACACACATCATTATGTATAGACAAACAAAGACACATCATTATCCATAGACAAACAAACACACATCATTATTCATAGACAAACAAACACACATCATTATGCATAGACAAACAAAGACACATCATTATTCATAGACAAACAAACACACATCATTATGCATAGACAAACAAAGACACATCATTATGCATAGACAAACAAACACACATCATTATGCATAGACAAACAAACACACACACAAACAGTAAAACGAAGGGATAGGAGAAAAAAAAATCAAGAGTTCATTAAAAAAAAAAAAAATATGTGCTAACCGAAGAACAGTAATAATACATAACTACTAGGACCATCGTTGTGTTAATGTTAACCAAATGTTCGTATTAGGCTCAGTTCAGTTTACGAAGCTTTACTACACACACACACACACACACACACACACACACACACACACACACACACACACGCACACACACACACACACGCACGCACACACACACACACACGCACGCACACACATACATACATACACACATACATACACACACACATTACATACATACATACATTACATTACATACATTACATTACATACATTACATATATTACTGTACATTACATTACATTACATTACATTACATTACATTACATTACATTACATACATTACATTACATACACTACATCACATACATTACATCACATACATTACATACACACGCACGCACCTCCCCACCCCCTCCACCCACCCACCCACCGACCGACACACACACACGCGCGCGCACACACAGACAGACAGACAGACAGATAGACAGACAGACAAACAGACAGATAGACAGACAGAGAGACAAACAGACAGACAAGGAGGAAAAAAGCGGATACCCAAACGAGGAAATACACAGCAAGAAAACTAAATAGAAAGAGAAAAAGCATGAGAAGAGGAGAGTGATTCACAGACAGAAAAAAAAAACACACAAGACAGACAGGCAGAGATACAAGCCGGCATGCATACAAGAAGACGGACATAAATTAATAGGGAGAAAACGGCAGTACAAGATAATAGACAAATGACTAGAACATTCCATATTATTCATAAGAGATCAAACACTCTCTGCAGACATTCTTGCACTCACTTTCGAAGAGTACCCTCTGCATCCTCTTGGTCCTCATCTTGCTCCGCGATGGCAGAGATCGGCGTCACCCCGATAGCTTTATTCTGTTGAAACAAAATAGATCACAAGGTCAGTGTAACGCTTCTCGTGTGTTTGCGCCACATGGAAGTCAGTTGCTATGAGGTTTGGTCAAGACTTTTTTACACTAAGAATGTGCCAGAGTATTATCCGTGTGTGATCTTACCAACTAACAATAACGAACGCAATCATTTGCTACTGATGCTGCTGCTGCTGTAGCTACTACTACTACTACTTCTACTACTTCTACTACTACTACTACTACTACTACTACTACTACTACTACTACTACTACTACTACTACTACTACTACTACTACTACTACTACTACTACTACTGCTGCTGCTGCTGCTGCTGCTGCTGCTGCTACTACTACTACTACTACTACTACTACTACTACTACTACTACTACTACTACTACTACTACGACGACGACGACGACGACGACAACCACTATCACCACACCAACGAATGTCACAACCGTTTCCATCACACAGCAAAAACTAATACCGCTACTGCTACTGCTGTCATTACTGCTTCTCGTATTACTACTAATACGATCATTACAACAACTACTATTACACCTATTACCAATACTACAACTACTACTACTACACACACCACAACTACAACTGTACTACTCTGTTAGAACTACTACTCTACAACTTGTATCACTACTACAATTACTAGCCAGATTTTTTTATGAATGCTCTTGGCTCCCACCCAGAACCAGTCTTAAACGAGTACAGGGTAAAGTCCTGGGAAATAAAGTCTACCCGTGTGATACTGAGGAAATCAGCCGCCGAGGTCAACTACTACTCTATCATTACTCGTACTAGTATTACTGCAACTACTACTTTTACGGCTATTACAATTATCACTACTACTATTGCTACTACAACAGTTACTACTCCTTTTGTCTCTTGCACTGTGTGTGTGGATTTATTGAATCGCACCTTGGTCAATATGTGTAATTAACTGATTGACGTTCAATCCCTACCAGAACATCACATTGAGCGATAAACAGCCGATAAGATGACACAAAGTGCCACCATTCGGATGAGGATCACCCGGGGATTGGTACCAGAAACCCCGTTCAATCCATTGGATGGATTATATTAGGGCCCCTGGCAACAGCTATGGGTGGGCTTTCAAACAATACAAAATTGCCTCAAACATTGGGACGCAGTACTGTCTAATAACGCACATCTCAATATGTGTGGTAAACTATATAGATTTGAATATAATTAATAATGTATTTTATTGAGGAACAAGATCGTGGAGAGGCATAGAACCAGCAGTTTGCATACAAATGAGTCAGATCTGTTAAACAAATGTACACGCAACACTCAGGTTCTGGAACAGTCCAAAAGTGGATGAACAACCAGCATTTTCCTCCAGAGTTTACAGCTGGTGAACACAAAGAAGAAGAAGAAGAAGAAGAAGAAGAAGAAGAAGAAGAAGAAGAAGAAGAAGAAGAAGAAGAAGAAGAAGAAGAAGAAGAAGAAGAAGAAGAAGAAGAAGAAGATGTCAGAAAACAACAAGTGGAATTCCTCTTATTTTGTTCTGCGGTTTATGCCACAGGGCGTCGCAGAGAGAATGTATCTGTAGCTGCCTGTGTTTTGTTAGTTGTATGGCTTGTTTTAATGTCATTTACTGGTATAATATACGAGTCACTGATATACGTGTCGGGGGGGGGGGGGGGGGGGGGGGGGGGGGGCGTTCGCACAGTCGAAAGGAGAATCGCTTTCAAATCCATCTGCGACTCGCTGCAGCCCCGGCCAGTGTTCGAAACTGGGCGGTAATCGGGGTTTACTTAGTCTCTAGGTAATGGGTACCAGAGTTAACACTAAATTGAGGAATGTCGCTGTAGCTACAGAGTTGTGTGCGTACGGCGACTTAGCCGGGCAGTTTCTTATCAGCTGTCCGTACTAGTGGCAGAGTCCTTATGGTTTATAACCGTGTGCAATGACGATAGTTCACGTCTCCCGATACCTTTACCTTTTACGTTTTAATGTCTTACTGAGCTACCTATTGTGTCTAGTTTCCTGCCTTCATCTATAACTTTCTTGGTCTGCCTCTTGTCTTTTAGCTTACTGTTTTCATACAGTACGCTAAAGATGTTGGCTGATTTTGTTCCATTCCGACCATATTACCAAACCATTTATTCTTTGATGCTTTATGAAATCGTTTATCGGTGAAGACGATATAGAGTATAATTTTATTTAATGTAAACGTGGGCAGAAGGAACAGCATTACTTCTCAGTACTAATATATCAGTCGCGCGTTTTCTATCGTTTCAACTTCACTTTCAATACCCAATACCAGGTAGCGTACACTGGATCGCAAAATATTCCTCCCCACGTCACTTAACGACTGCAGGGGTACAAAATGATGATAATACTTGATTGCAAACAGTTTTAGTAGGGGCAGAGCTTCCACTCCTCCAATAAATGTGTAAAGAAGCTAAACCCCACCCCTAACCATCATCATCATCATCATCATCATCATGTAGCAGGTACTTTGCAGAACGTCGCTCTCATCACAGTCTGCCTGAAAGAAACTCGGTCTCCCGCCAGTTCTCCCGCCTCACGCACTTTCACACTCAAGTAGTCACTTATATCCTGTGCCCATCTTCGTGTCGGTCGGCCCCTGCCCCTCCTTCCTGGTACCATGCCTTCTGCTATAATTTTTTTCCAATCCGTCGTGGCGCATGATATGACCAAAATATTTCAGTTTTCGAGAAAGGATGCTGTTCATTAGCCAATCTTTCTTGATGTTCAGATCTTTTAAGATGTCAATATTTCTATCTTCTTTGTCCAAGATGTTCTGAGAATCTTTCTATAGCATTTCAGCTCAAAAGCCCCTATTCACTTTATTAAGGACTGAGAGATAGTCCACGACTCACATCCGAATGTAGCCACAGGGAAGATGCATGCTCTCAACATTCTTATTTTTATCTCCTTGCTGGTGCTTAATCAAAGACTTTTAAGGCTGTTCAATCTTTGCATTGCTATTGCCATCCTCCTTTTAATTTCTGTCGAACAGTCTCCAATATTGTTTATTATAGAGCCTAGATCACCCGTAACCATGTACAGAAATGTCTTTAAAATGTCCTTTTTTATAAGTGTAGTATTACTGTATTTATTTAGTAACTTTATTATGATTATCATTACTCACTTAAACAAGGTGTATGCCCTGAGCCCTGCCCTGTTACGATGAAATGGGAGGCGAAGACCCTTATCCGACTGACTGACTTTCTACCCCACCAGGACATCACACAAGCGATAAACACCAGATGACACAATGTGCCACCATGTGGGTGAGGATCATAGTGGAGAGGTCCTACAAACCGCGTTCAGCTTTTAGGCCATATTTATGGTCAGACTATTTAGCGGCCTCGGGCAAGAGCCAGAGTAGGGCTTCAAAAAATGAAACATATCATCCTAAAAAGGACGGAAAGTTATAGTAAAGACCCTTATACTGACAGACTGGCTTCCTACCCCACCAGGACATCACACAAGCGATAAACACCCGATGACACAAAGTGCCACCATGTGGATGAGATTCACCGTGGAGAGGTCCCAGAAACCGTGTTCAGACAATTGACCATATTTATGGCCTGCCTATATTGCGGCCCTTGTCAAAAGCCAGGGTGGGGCTTCAAATCACAAAAAATTCCATTGTATAAAAAACGAAACAGTGCGTAATATCAGACCCTTGTCCCCAATGTTTTCTTTGATTCGCGTCTCCGGGGCTTATGAAAATTGTGCAATAAACGGCAGATGGGGGAAAAAACTAAGTATGTGAAAAAAATAGCATTTCATCAATAAACTGAATATACGAGGAAAATGTCATGTCCCGAGTTCAATATTTAAATACAAATGTCATCGACTACTGGAGTATTTAGTATTCTTCTTTTGGCAGACGATTTGGCGAAAGCGCGATTTGATTGAAGACTTATGCCCCTTTGGGGTCGGTAAAAGGTTAATACAAATGTCTGCAGCCTATAGCTGGAAAGGGGCGTATGAAAACATAGTCAGGGGGTGTTAGGCCTGGAACCGCGGCTCCCAGCCTAACTTGTAATCATTATTAAACATAAAATGTATCGATCGGCACTCATAGAACGAAGTAGAAAGATAGAAGATCACATTAGACAACATAAAATTCGAAAGCTATAGTTACCGTGCCGGGAATCAAACCCGTCACCTCCAGACGCCGTGTGCGCCTCGCTATTGAAACAAAGCGCACTAAGAACATGGTCAACTAGGCACCCCCCCCCCCTCCAAAAAAAAGGTGTCTTACTGGCGATGTCTATCGTACATCGTGAACTCTAATACTATGGAATACGGACATAATTCATTTCAAACCATTGAAATGGCACCATAGGTCTTTCGCACAATGTCGTTACTCTTGTCGGCACGTTGTCACAAAGACCATAGACTGGAGAGGTGTTTTTTCAAAACAAAATCCGCGTGGTCTGCCTGGCCAACCTGCTGCTTTTGGGATAAACGTTCAAAAAGGAGTAGACTAATATTTCAAGTCTAAACATTCCATCGACTAATTCAGAATTAGGGGAAGAAACAATTTATGAGTTCCCATAATTGAAAAAAAAAAAAAAATTTCGGCAGCTTGATCCCCCTATACCTTCCAGTTCGGTCTAAGGACAGTTTTAAATTAAAATTTCAAAACCCAATAATATAGTGTTCCAGCTTAATACCCGCTCTCACTCCCCGCCTTCTCCACCGTCCACTGGAGTTCAGTTTGAAAGGAGAACAGTTCACTTTTGGGTTATTACCCGTGTGTCATGACGTTGATCAGTTGTTGAAACCTCATACCTGTTCGGCTAACTCTGTATGTATGGAAGTTATCATGCATTTCGTGTTACTCTACGGTTTGAAAGTTGTTGAATGCGGGCAACAATTTTATAATCCTAGAGTACTGTGGCTCGTTCCCTGCGATAGGCGGTTACAAATAAATGATTACAAATAGGTACCAGACGAACAAACCGACTAACAAACAAGCA